TTATGTACAAACAATGAATCATGGAACACTGCATCAAAAACTAATGATGTAATGTATGGTGATTAACATAACAATAAAAAAATTATGAAAAAAAAGCTATTTAATAAATACCAGGGTCATGGAGAGGTTTATTGTGTAATGGAAAGCCTGCACTCCCACTATTGGCTGAAGGTGGCTTCACGAGCATCATCTCTGTCCACGGGGCTGCCCCCAAGTTCACGCTGCCCAGGCCTCCGAGTTTCCATCTTCTCTTTCCTCTGCCAAGCCATCTTTGTGTGGCTGTGATTAACTCAGAGCTATTACAGTGAGTTCTACTCATGTCCAGGTCCCAACGTCCAAACAGGCCTCAGCCTCCACCATGTTATCAGGTATCTGGGCAACAAGATCCAGCAAGTAAGAATACTCTGCCGAACAGCAGTATCTGAAGCAGATAAAGTCATGACAGCAATCCCTGTCATTACGGGGGCTCGCACTGGTTCTCCTGCTGGCCACAAAATGGACTCCTGATGGCCAGCCATCCTTTGTGCAGTCCAAACCATCGTTCAGAGGGGAACAGTTACCACTCCTAGAAAGACAACTCAGGATCCGATAGAAGAATGCCTGCACTCTACCCGGGCAAACCACACATTCCAGGACTCTGCTTTCTCATCCATGGTGGCAGGGCAGGATTCTGAACTCCAAGTGGATAAGGGTCTAGGAAACACATCTTCACTAGCTCATGAGCCGACCAAATACTGTTCATTGCCCATAGTTTTGCATGGGTTTCGCCATTATGGGTACAAAACATCATTTAACACTTGATATAAAAATAATGCGTGCATCAGACTATTGTTTAAAATGATTCATCCCCTCCAACACCTCCTTGGGAGCATGAGTCCCTGCCCTTGGACTTGGCTTTGGCCCTGTGGCTTCCGTTGGCCAGTAGTACGCAGCCTGAAGAGACCACGTGCCACTACTGAAGTTAGTCCCCGAGAAGCTGAGCCTATTTCTAGTTGCCCTCTTGCCATCTACACTTGCTACTAAGAAGCAGATCTCCTATGTAGCTGCTGCTTCTTCACCTGTACCCCAGAATAGACACACGGAACAAAATTGCCCAGCTGACCCACAAGCAAGACTAAATAATGGTGTTTTAAGCCACTGGGTCTGGGGGTGGTTTATTGTAGGCACCATTTTGTCAACAGTTGAGTGATATGTGCTATCCTCTCCCCAGATGCAAAAGCATCAGGTACTCACCATCATCGATTCCAGGCCAGCCCATGAAGTGAGCAGAAATCTGTTTCTCATCCTTCCCATACTCATTCTTGGCTACTAACTTGTAGTCCCCATTGTTCATGTGAGTGGGATTATCCAGCTGGAGGCAGCCATGGTACTCCGTGTGATTGGTAACATGGATTTTAGTACAGATGTATTTGGACTCATTCAATATGGCCCCGTTATAGAACCACTGAAGCGCTGGTTTGGGGTTGCCTTTCACAGTGAATGGAATGCACCAGTGGTGGTCTGAGGTTGGAGATTCGAGAAATGTGATAGTTGGAGCAACTAAATTGAAAAAGAGAGAGTTAATAGCACCAGAACGCTCAGAATTCTCCCCATCTCCAGATTTCTGTGTATCAATAGGGGATTTTATTCAACAACCATTTGGTTAAGAAAATACAGGACCAGCAACTCTGGAATCCATCAATATTTTGAATCATCATCAAGGCTGATTGAACTTCCTACAGAGAGCTTCAAAGAGACTCCTTTCCCTATACTTAAGACCCATGAATCAGAGTCATTTTTCAAATCTATTCAGTGTGAGAACCGGCTCCAAATAGATCGCAGAGATTTCTGACAGCAGAAAGGGTTCAATTGAAGTCAACTTTGGTTTCGAATAAATACGCCTTGATATTATGTAGATTCATCACCAAAACGCTGAGGGCCACTGTTTTTAATTTACAGTCCTTCATTAAACAACACAAATACTGACAAAAGTGACTTTGGAAATCTTGCTGGAAGCCTGGATCTCACATCACTTATCTAAAACAGATCAAAATGACCAAGGCCGTGAATGCTCCTACCAATGCGGATTGATCATTATAAAGTATGATCAATTGGTACTTTTTGCCAATTGCCAATAGTAAATGCTCTTTAAAAGCATCACATTTCGGGGTGCCTGGGTGGCTCTCAGGTCATGATCTCAGAGTCGTGAGACTGAGCCCTGCATTGGGCTCTGCACTTAGCAGGGAATCTGCTGAAGATTCTCTCTCTCTCCCTCTGCTCCTCCCCCTGCTCACTCTCTCTCTCTCTCTCAAATAAATAAATCCCTAAACAACAACAACGAAAAAAAAGCATCACGTTTCATTACAGCACACTCCATTTTTGCTAGATTTCAGAAGCCAATGTTTTGATCCTTTTTAAATGTCTGGGGTTCTATCCAAACCTAGACAAACAAACTAGAGATTACTTAAACTTTAAAAATAAAGCACTTTATGCTTTGGGGAAACAAACATTTAAATAGCATCTTTAAACAGAGTACTTATCCTGAGGGAAGGTATTTAAGTCCCTCATAATTGTTTATTTTAATGTGGTCTGACTTTGATAACGATACAATCGACGACTGGAAAATACCCCAGAGACCTAATAGCATTGTTTCTCAGGTCAGGAAACCCAAGTCCAGTGAGGTTAAATGACTTGGTCAAGTTTAGTGAGCAAGGCAGATCTGGAACAGGGATCCAGGTCTCCTGATGTCTAACCCAGAAGCCCTTCCCTCCTGACGCTGCTTCCTGTTATATGTGTTCATTACACAAATTGGAGGTTGGGGGGGGGGGGGAATTACAGCCTGCTAACAAATACATTTTGGCCGGAGTCACTACCAAAGCTATCTCAGTTGTTAAAACTCTTTACCATTTATTCCTTTTATTCTTTATCTGGATTTTGATAGATAAGGTCAATTCTTCAGACCATGGCGGCCACCATAGATATTAAGTGAGAAGATTTTGAATTTGAGCATCCTGATTTGTAGGTCTGTGTTACAAATACAAGGACCCCAGTGGGGTAGGGACAAAACTTACCTTCCTCCCACCAGCCCAGGCCCCCATGCCCAGGACCCACTTAATCCTTCCACCATGCTCAAAAGAGCTTTTGGTGATGTGTTGACTTAAGGACATAAAGTGGGAAGCTGGTTGCATATGTTTGGGGATAACATTGATTTCAGGCTTCTGGGTGTCTCGAAATGATGAGAAATTTTAAGTCCAGTACCTACTGGGCACAGAGGTAGTGCTGACAGTGACAAAGGATTACAGTTGGTGACTGCAGTCATGCACCCTGACAATCGCATACGGAATGTGTGCTGCAGGTGAACACTAACCAGCATATCGACACCATGTATCTACATGTGTGTAATGTGTATTCATACATACACACGTGTCCGCTTGTGGTTTTCTCACCCACATCCTGACCCAGACACAGTAAAACCTCATTAATTTATACCATACCAGCTCAGAATTCAGAATGATGTGCAAAGTATAAGGGATTTTTACTGAATACACGTTTGCATGGAACGCTACAACCTGGAATGTTAAGATATGTGTTGTGTTATTTATAATACTGGAAAATAATGCACATACGCTTAAGAAGCTTTAATAGCCTGTATCTTCATTTCAATATATACAGAAATTTAAACCGATTATAATAAAAGTTTTCTGCAGGTGATCATAATTTTCGATCATTTAAGGAGTACTCCACCAACCTTCCCGCAGAAACCTGATGTCAAGCTAATGAGGTTTTATTGCATCAGTGGCACACTTGGGTGTTTGTGAATAGCCAGCCCAGTACTTTAGGTGACATAACTTTAAATCTTCATAGTGCTTTTATAGAGAAAAAGATTTTAGAAACTGGTTTATCAGAATTTAAACGAAAACTGATTAACAAGAGGAGGATAACCAGTTCAAGATAGGTTCTCTCAAAAAAAAAAAAAAAAAGACAGCAGAAGGCACAAGAAGACAAGCTTAAGATCAAAAAGACAGCTTAAAAGAAAGACATGCATGTGTAAGAGAGATTCGCAGAAATAGAACACTGATATTTCTTTAAAAAATATACACAAAACACTGCACACACTTTTTTTTCTTGACACACTTAAGCAGCACCCAGAGGGCCACAATGACAAATGCACGTGTGTCCACGATCATTCGCTATTAGAAACATATGCCCGTCTGATTACGTACAATGTACAGTGAGGTTCACAGAATCTTGGTCTTCTCCTACAAGATTTTCTGCCACACAGGAGATTTGCTTTCCACTGTCATCAGATGAAATGTTAGTTATCCTTAAGGAGCCCTGTGTGTGGCTTGTTTCATTCTACAAATGAATTAACAGACAAAAATAATCCTTATTAGGGCTGATCCCAAAGTGACAAGATTTGGGGTTTCTCCCCCTAACTAAAGAAAAAAATACACACCATTAGGAAGTTTTCTGGCCTGAATTGGGGCCAGGCACAAGAGTAAGGCCAAAGCTATTCTATTTCTCTAGAATATAACTGTTTAATGTGCAAAGTTGATTTAATCCTTGGATTCCTATCTACATTTCTCCAAGGGAAAAAACCATAAGGAGCATCCCTCGCCTTGCTCACAAGGACACAAGCAGCTCACTAGACACCCAGAGACTCTAATCTATTGGATATACACAACTAAAATGCAAACCTGCATTCTTCTTTGTTAATTACAAGAATGAACAGAAAGTAAATGTATATCAAAAACTCATCATAAATGTCTCCGTATGGCCCTACAAAATATTAAATGATCATCACTAGATGAATACAATCTCAAGTTCTGAGACACTCTCGTCTCTCTAGGAACACAGAGCCAAACAAAAGCCTTACCATATGTTTGGAAACCAGATTACCGACATCCCAGTACAAATTCGGAACTGGATCGCCTGCAACGCTACAAGATAATGTGATAGACTTTCCCTCCTCCACAGTGAGGTTGGGTGCAGCCAAATTTGCTGATGGCAAACCTGTGGAACAAGAAAAGTAAGTGGAGACATATACAAATAGTTCGATTCATTATCAAAATAATCGCAACAAATTGGAAACTCCTCAAGCTTTAGAATCAGTAATGATTTAATTTCCGAGACAGATTTATGTTGATCTGAAAAAGTGCTGGGTTGGTAAGCTTTACAGATTTAACGTGAACCAAAAATGTGTGGTTGTAAGATCTGAAAACAAATTTTGCATGTTTCTTAAAAATATTACTGCAGAATAACTTTTTACTTTAAAAAAAAATAATTTTTAAAACTAGGTCCTCTATCTCTCTCAGGGTTCTACAGTTGCTAATCCAGTTTTTTTTTTACATAAATAGGTTTCTGTAGACCACCTTACCTTGTTGATTTCCCCATTGTCCCCTTCATTTTTTATAGTCAAAAACAAAAATGTGAGAGGCATCTACATTTTTTGCATAAATCCTCTTTTTACATTAAGTAACTCATAAATATAACCCCACCACCAGACCTAGATTTTGAGATAGGTTACCGAAGAAAATGTAGCTTTTTGGGTTGTTTTTGTTTTGGGGGGGCAGAGAGAGAGGGAGAGAGAGACTCTTAAGCACATTCCACCCTCAGTGCAGAGCCCAACGCAGGGCTCGATCTTAAGACCCTGAGATCAGGACCCGAGCTCAAACCAAGTGTGGGATGCTTAACCGACTGAGCCAACCAGGCACCCCAAGAAAATGCAGTTTTAAAGCATTCTTCACACATGAAGCTGGACCATCACAATATTAGAATGTTCCAAAGCTATATAAGTCATAGTTAAATATCATAGGAAAAATGGATTATTGTAAAATTTCCAGTATGATAAAAAAAAGTCATGTGGATCTATACTTCCATGTTTCAAGAGCTTTATTGATGCCATTATCACGTCATTAAACCATCACACCTATTGGGTGTTTACACTGCCTTAAATCACATGGGACTCACAGTATTTTCTGCATGAAGGCGCATCCCAGAGAGCATAACGATATGTCAGGTCCTGCCTGTCAAGCTTGTCCCTCACTTGGTATCAGAAACTCTGCTCTGGAGCTGCATTTACCCCGACAGCTGTGTCCCAAGGACCTACGACACCTCATTACCTCAGGAGTAAGCCAGAGGTCAGAAAAGGCAATTCATCTTCAGTACACATTACATTGCAATTAAAACACCCACCTAGCGCTCTCTGACCCACTGTCTCCACAGAACTCTCCTATGATGCAGTCCTTACTGACAAAGCCTTTCTTCTTTATTACCAAAAGCGGACTGGAACAAGATTTCTCCAGGGTTCATCTCATGGTGTCCCCACCATCCACAGAGGACTTCCAAACCAGACCCGGCTTTCAGTGGCCGGTGAGACTCTTCAGAACCCTTCCTGTCAGCAACCCATAGGAAGCCTTGTTCTACCTTACACAGGGTTTCAAAAATGCTCCCTAAGACTCTGAGTTTCATACTCGCAGGTTTTCAATCTGTCATGTTTTTAGCTTCCAAGGCTCTTCTTTTGTTCCTGAACGGTCTTCTATTCGTATAGCACCCTGTTTTTGTCTCCTGGGTGCAACATCTCCTGATCTCTTTGAGCTGTTAATCATTTCTTTTGAATTTTTCTTCTCTCCATATCAACACTGTTTCTGGCAACTTGTTTTTCGTCATCTTTTTGTTTGTTTGGTATTTGTCTCTCTTATTGTAAGCTTTCCTCAAAGAGTGGGTATCGTCGGCCGTTCACACATCTTTAAGAACAAGGTACTAGAAGCATTGTGCATTTAACTGTTGCCTCTGGTGTAGGGCAATATTCTTGGCCTTTTCTGGGTACCACCTTTTGCCAATATCATCAGATCATTTTGGGACAGGGTGTGGTCAGATTATTATTATTATAATACTCTTCCAATGTCCTACCCCGAAGAGGAAGAAGGATGGAAATATCGATATTCATATGTAAATCCATCATTTTCTCTATGGTTCTCGCAGCCTCAACTCTTTCTGGAGTTCCTCATAATATTGGTTTGATCCTCTTTAGAGAATAAACCTCTAGTTTTCTGCTGAGGAGGGAGGGGTGCAGTCACCTGGAATGTATGGAATGAAAATGGGATTCACTGCTCCATCAGGGACTTGACCCACTCTCTTGGGTTTGGTGTTGCCTGCACACCTGCTTCTTCCTGGGCCTGGTAACGTCTCTGCGTCCCAAACCAATTTCCTCTTGCCTTTGCCCTCTGCCAACCTGGTAATCAGCATTCTCAGCCATTAGCTCGGTTTCTGTTCCTCTGTCTGCTTTCTAGCTTGCAACCGTTTGTGTTCTGTTGACTCCTCTCCCATTTTCTTGTGCTTAGAGATTTATCTGCTGATTCTGGAGGGATCACAGAGCCAGGGCCTGCCCTGGTGCTTGTCCTCAAGGTATGACTTCCTCCACCAACAAAGCTTGGAGATACCCCTCTTGGCACCTTGAATACAAACTATGGGATGAATTTCCTACTTACCATAAATGCATATAATAGTTTGGAAATTCTGAGCAGAAAAAAAGGTTAAAATAGAGATTCCCAATAGAGAATGCTATGTCATAATCTCCATTTCCCTGAGAAAATTTAATGTAGTCTTTTTCATCAAGCCTAAATTTATATAAACAATTCTAAAAAATGCGTGTTTAATTACATTAATAGTAGTATTATTTACTGGGCATTCACTGAACCAGAAACTCTTTTCCAGTACTTTAAATGATTGGTTTATGTAATCCTTACAACCATCACAAAGTTAAGTGTTTGTCCTTATCTAATTAAGGAAGACTGTGTGTTCTGGAAAAGTCTAATACATCTTCCAAAATTGCCCACATACCTGTAGACCTAGGATTCGAACCCAAAGTTCATGGTCTTCACCGCTACACTATACTTCCTTCCCAGACTGCATATATCCATTTTAGCACAGAACATAAATACCAGTATGTACCTACAACCTAAGAGTTTAGTTCATTTAGAAAATAATTACGTGTCTATTTGTGAAGGAAGAATGAGTCTCTCTTATTTATAGACAAATTGTATCACCCTGTCACAGCAGTTCTCCAAAGGAATCTGTGCAAAATTGGCCAAGTCTAGATCTTTTAGATGTAAAGTCTTCCACAAATGAGTAAGCATCTGACTCACGTTAATTCTAAAGCATTAATAGGCTGGCCAAAGATTCAATAATGGAAAAAACAATCTGTACTTGAAATATCACTTGAGGTTTAATTAGCACAATAAAAATGAATTGGGATGCATGAACAGCCAAGGCAGGATAAACCATTTGCCAGGCACTACTTCCTGGCTTAATAAGATTTGAAATCAGCACAAGTACAGAGCAAAGCTCAGCAATGCTTCCAAGAGCTTCTAGCCCTATTGTCATGGGATCCTGATTTAAGCTTCCGAGCGTTCTTCCTCTGCACTCTGAGAAACCTCACTGGAGATAAGAGGTGACCAGCCACCCAGGCAGACGGACACCTCTATGTCAATGTCCTGGATGTGTTCAGAAAGGACATACCAGCCTGCGGACCAATCGCTCATTAGGTTTTTTTGTCTACGACTATTATTCTTAAACTCGGCAGGGGCTTGAGCAATCATCTCGTCCACAGAGCTTTCCCCAAAGTGTGTTCTGTGGAAATCAGACTCCTTGAGACACTTGGTGGGGAAGAGGGGGGGGATCTAATATTTAAAAAAAATAAGAGCCTATAGGAACTTCCGTAACTCTGGATGTTCACTATGCACATCACATATTAAAAGCTCCCAGAAGTGCTGCTCTAAAGGAATCAGTTCACTTCCATGGATCTTATATTCCCCAAGCTTTTTTGACTACACCCTTTCTCTGTAGTATCTTCTTGTTGTGGCTCTGTTATTTTTATTTGAAGTAATTTGACAAAATATATAAGATACACATATTTAAATTTAGATGTAAAATATATTTAAAGCTACATATTCATATCAATGGTAGTAATAACATTAATAGCTCATGTTTATTGAGTACTTGATATGTGCTAGACCTCATCTGCAATATTCTCCATATTAGCTTATTTGGCATCCTAAAAACTCGTGAAAGTAGGTGTCATTAGGATCCCCATTTCCAGATGAAGTTAAAGCTTATCAAGTACCACAACTGAATAACTAATGAATGGGAGCTGGGCTTGACCCTCACCGTTCTGTCCATGGCCTCAACCAATACATTGACTGGCTGCCTCCTTTATTGGGCTCAGCCCTGCCTCTGTTCCCTTCCATGAGCGCATACTTCCAGACAATTGACTCTGTCTTAGGATCACTAATTTAAAGTATGCAGGTTCTTTCCGTTTCTTTATCACCATTCCAAAGGGATAAGGAACGCTCATTTTTAGTACGATATTAGGTAAAAATGAATTTGGTTGACCTATTCCTAAAAACATAAAAAGCAAATCAAGTAGGCAAGGTCTCACTTTCTAATGGTTGAAGAAAACTAACCTCTTATCACTTTGAGTTATTAACTCAGCTTTGCAGTTGAGTGAAATGGGTCAGGTCTGGGTTTTATTTTTCACCTGTAAGTAGGGATAATGTTCTTTCTCATCTTGTTTTAGTGATCCCTGAGCTCTGTTCATTTTGTGTTCGATCATCATTCTGTGCATGAAATATTCAAATAAATTATGATTTTTGTCTACTCTCTCCTCTCCTCTCACATTCTCTCTTTTTGGCATATCTTCCACTTTCTCTGTCTCTTAAAGCATATATATTTCACTACCTGGAAAGAAGCCAGAAGGAGCCTGACCTATTTAGAAGTAGCTGCTTTACGCCTAGTTACAAAAATGACAGAAAATTAGCAAAGTGACTTTCCAAGCCCAAATTGGAAACTGTGCTTCTATGCTTGTGTGAGCTGTGTCATTACAGTGACAGCAACCAGGAAACTTCTAAATACAAAAACCATGTCAGCGGCTGACAGGTTAGGAAAAAAACAGCTTTATTTGCCATCCTAAAAAGATAAAGGAAAACAATGGTCCACTGTGTGGCTCGCTATAT